AAGAATTAGAATAGGGTTTTGGGATATACTCTATTATACTATGTGAAGGAACCCCCAAAATAGTATTTAGTATTGGGAATTATTCGGGCCCCTATATTAGGGTGCTCCAAACCTCTCCGTCCCCCTCTTGGCCTCGAACTCACAGGGCTCGGTCCTGGGCGCTTAATTAAGGCGTTTTGTGGGCCTCACTGGGCAGTTTGCTTGCTGTGTCTCGTTGCATGTTCTGCCGGGCCATTTAATGCTTCGTTTCGAGCTCTGTTCGAATCTAATTACGCGAAACTTCGGGATGCTGACCTAAAACCCTGTGCCCGGACCCCAAACCATAAACCGCTGAACCCCCAGACCCCAAAAACCCCAACCTCAAGGGGCTCAACCCTAAAGCCTAGACCCTAAACCCTAAACCCTAAACCCTAAACCCTAAACCCTAAACCCTAAACCCCTAAACCCGTAAACCCTAAACCCTGAACCCTAAACCCCAAACTCAAGGGGCTCACTAGAGCTGAAGGCTGCTGCTGCTGCAGGCATCTTGGGTCTCAGTGCTCAGGTTTTAGGGTTTAGGGTGTAGGGATGCGCTTGGGGGGGTTCTTTGTGATGCTGGGACAAGGAGTCCGTTATTTAAATAGATATCTATCTATCCATCTATCTATCTATCCATCTATCTATCTATCTATCTATCTATCTATCTATCGTGTGTGCGTAGTTACTTTCTTATGTTTGCTTTATATTCCACTACACTACAATGCACTTTATGGTATGGCCCTGTACTGTACTGTACTGTACTGTACTGTGCTGTACGGTGCTGTACCGTGCTATACTGTACTGTACCATAGGGTACGGTACTGCACTGCACTGTATTGCATTGCATTGTACAATACCGGATTGTATCACATCATAACGTACTTTTTTGTGCTTCTGTACAGCTGTGACATGGGGGTTAAGGCCTCTGGTGATAGGGCTAGGGCTTAAGAATATTGGTGATAGGGTTAGGGCTTAAGGATTCTGGGGTTTGAGGCATTGGCGGCTTTGCAAGTTGGCGGTTTAGGGTCGTACGCCTCTCCAGCCCCTGGTCTAACCCATCTAAACAATCAGCTACATCCCGAAACCATGGCCAGAGATCTGTCTTATATGAAGTAAGGCTTCATCGCCAACACCCAGAGATTTGGACTGCTACGACAAAAATCACCACCAAAATTTTACGGGGATCCTCATCCGGAGTTGAAGCATATTCCGGAGCCAAGGGGTTTGTAGTCCGGGCGGGTAGGCTCACAACGCCGCGGCTTTAGGGTCTCTGGATGCAAAACTGATGCAGCCAGAGCTGCTCGTTGTCACGCTCCAGCTGAGCCACCTGTACCGTCGGCAGGCTACGGGATTTTCGGACGATCATAAAATTGCATGCATATGTGCGCACTTTATCTAGATACATATGTACATATATATAGATATATATATATATGTATGTATACACACACAGACATCTGCATATACCTCACCTGTTTCCTCTGTATGTGTTTGTGTGTGTGTGTGCGTGTGTGTGTATGTATGTATGTATGTATGTATGTATGTATGTATATATATATATATGTATATGTGTGTGTGTGTGTGTAAGTATATGTATATGTATATGTATATGTACGTATATGTAAAGTGTAAGGTAAGCCTTAAACCCCAGCCAAAAACCTCGAAACCGCTTTGGGTTTAGCGTTTGGGGTTCAGGGTTTAGGGCTTGGGGTTTGGGGTTTGGGGCTCAGGGTTTAGGATATAGGGTTTAGGGTTTGGGGTTGAGGGTTTTGCATTTTTTTAAAGTGCAGTGGCCCCTTTCTCCCGCCGAAGCAGTCAAAGGCCCGCCTTGAGTAGGCATACACTCTGTCCATGTGTACATGGGTTTAGGTTTAGGGTTTAGGGTTTAGGGTTTAGGGTTTTTGGGGTTTTGGGTTTAGGGTTTATTAGGCTCACCACAGAGTCCTCGGCTCACGTTCTCACGAAGCATGTATACGAATGTTCGTGACTCGAAACGCAGCCGGCATGATGGCGCAGCGCTACCCTAGAAACCCTAAACCCCAAACCGTATACTTCAAAGAGCTTCGGGGCACAAACATAACTTATCTCAACCGGTAGCTGGCTGCGCACGACATGGAATGCAAGCAGCCCCACCTGCATGGTCCGATAACTCCATGCCGGGACTACGATCATGAGCTGCATTTAGGGGAATATGGGCTGTGAGAGGTAGTTTGGGGTGGTGTCTAAAATGTTGTCTCGATGTTTTGGAGTTGCTCTTCCTGCGGCCAGGCGACGTAGTCATGCTGGCCAAAAGCCTGAGGGAAGGATAAATATATGGGGGGAGGGGGTCTTAAAAACGAGACTAGGGTTTAGGGTTTAGGGAACTATACCTACCTAAAGAAGGGCCTTACCAATTGGACGAGGCTGCCGGGTAAAGGTATGCCGTGTCAAACTGAAGCTAACCTTAATCCTGAACCCTAAACCCTGGACGCTGAACCCTAAACCCTGAACCCTAAACCGTGTAACCCTAAACCCCAAACCCTAAACCCTCAAGAAAGAAATAAATAGCAGTTGCTTGTTGCCGCTGGCCATCCAAAAACCTGTTTTGTTTCCATTTTCTGTGAACAAATTTCGGTTTCAGGGCAAAGCAAGTCAACCAGCCCCCCACCCCTAAAACCCTAAAACCCTAAACCGCCACCCCAGCCCAGCCAATCAGCCCAGCCCCGCCTCTCATCCCAACCCCAGCCCCGGTCCCAGTCCCTGTCCCGAGCCCCTAAACCCTAAACCCTAAACCCGGCAGCCCCCGATCCAACATCACTTCCAAAACGGAAAACCTTCTCAAAACGTTTCGGTCAAAACTTGTTGGCACCCAAACACTTCACACTTTCTATAAGCCCTAAACCCTAAACCCTTCACTCTAAACCCTAAACCCTAAACCCTAAATAAACCCTGGCCCTGAACCCTAAACCCTAAACCCTAAACCCTAAACCCTAAACCCTGAACCCTATACCCTAAACCCTAAACCCTAAACCCTAAAGCCCAAAGCCCCGGCCCTGAACCTAAACCCTATACCCTAA